TCCGTCCGCGCGCCCTCGCTGTCGGCCCGTTCGCGCGCGTCCTCGCCAATTGCGCGATTGCTGCCCACGCTCGATGCTCCCGCATCCTTCCCACGCTCGCCTGCCCGCTCGCGCGTACCATCGACGCCCGTGCCCCGATCGCCTATCGCGCACCCGCGTACACCCGTGGTTCTTCGCGTCTCGCCGACCCCCGCAGCCTGCCTTCTCCCTGCGCATGGTCGCGCGTTACTTGCGTCCACCATCTCATCGCCGCCCCTCCGCTCAGCGCCCCGACCCTTCGACCTCTTGCGCGCATCACCGTACGATGCGCGCCATACGCCCGATAGCCGGTCCTCATCGATCCCTTTGTCCCTTGACGACCATTGGTCCCAACCATCCAACCCAATACAGTCACCGGCACGCCATATCCAGCCATCTTCCATACCTAGCCTTCCCCGCCTTTCGAACTCCGTGTGCCACGCCCGTTTCTTCCTCGTGCACGGCCCACAACATTGGCTCGCCTTTTGCGCCCTTGTTTTGCGTCGTCTTTTAGCCCGGCACTTCTTAACCTTCAACTCGGCCCGTGGACCACATCCCTTTGGCCAATCTCGTACACATGATGGCCGAGATATAGGACTTGATGGCTCTTCCAACATGTTCTCTAACCATAAAACAAGACCATCGTCCTCCTCCTTGTCGGACTCGCCGGGGTTGATGACCACTTCCGTATCAGCCTGCCAGCTCGCGCGCCGCCCTCGCCTTTCCTACTCCTCGTGGCGCGCGGCAACCCTCGCGCTTGACTCTCACACAGCGTCCTTCGCGCGCGCGCCTAGTCCGCCGACCTCCTCATGCACGTGCACGCCTGCTCCCAGCACTCCTATGCCCACTGGGCTTAGGACGTCAACCGCGTACGCGCTATCGCGCCCGCCCGCTGCTGGCGCATCTCCGTCCCTTGCGTGCGTACGCCCGTAGTCCGTGCGCACCTTGCGCCCGTCCAACTCCCCGAATGCCAACGCATCCCAATCGACGCCCGTGGCCTTCTTGCTTACCGCGCACCCTTCTGCTGCTCGTGCACGATCACTCGGCCAAAGCGCGCCATCGCTTGTAGCCGTGTTGCGCGCATCATGGCCCGATGCACGCCATTTGCTTATTCGTCCCTTGGCCACGCTCGTCCATTCACAGTAACCCCTCGCGCGCATCAACCACCCAACATCCACCCCCTACGCGCCACTTCGCCAAATCTCCAAGCGCCATGCGCTTCTACGCCAATGCGCGTGTGCGCGCCCTTCTTGAATGTGCCCTTTCTCGCGTGCTTGTGCGCCTCGCATACGAGCTCGTACCCGTCTCTTAGGC